GCCTGCCGGCTCGTCGCGTTAACGCTGAGACTCCGGGCGTGTTAAAAATGAGTGTATCCGCCGGGCGTGGTGGCGGCGCTGTACTCGGAGCGCTCTGGGAGGCAGAGGCGGGAGCGTCTCATGTTGGAGCTCAGCCTGGGTAGCTAACAGCAATTCAGTGAGGCCGTTTCAGCATTTAAAAAGAAAAATTAAGGAGGGGCGGGGGATGGAGCTCGGTGCGAAGAGCCTCGATTCAGTCACCAGCTGTGATCAACAAAAAGATCCAGCATCCCTGTCACCGCTGGACCTTCTTGATAGGAAAAGGATAGGAGTAACATGATAGTCGAGTAAGTGTACCAAGCTGACGCGAAGAGGGGGCGTGATATTTAGAGATGCTTGTTATCAAGGGGCATGTCCACTTAGTAGTAAGCCTTAGGTGCCATAGCACCAAAGATGGGGAGAAAGAGTAACTTCTGCGCTGGAACTTAATGGAAAAGCTTTTCGTACGTGTTCAGTGACAGCTGGTGTCCAGGTATTTCATCTCCCTGCCCGGGACTGCCTAGGACCGTCCTGTGTGCACCTGATTTTTAAGTACCTCTTTCAGTTGACACCGTAATGGGTGGCTTTTTAGCAGCAGAAACAGGTGTGTAGTTTTAAAATAGTTTTTTTTACCGAGGTAAAATATTTAACATGAAATTTGTCGCTAACCATTTTTGAGTATACAGTTGATGGCATTAACATTCACATTGTCGCACAATCATTTCTTTCTATTGCGATCACTGTTTCTAAAACCGTTTGGCCGGGCATGGTGGCACATGCCTGTAATCCCAGCAGTCCTGTAATCCCAGCAGTCCTGTAATCCCAGCACTCGGGAGGCTGAGGCCAGAGGGTCGTTGCGAGTTCGAGATCAGCCTGGGCTACAAAGTGAGCTCAAGGCCAGCCTGAACTGCATAGCGAGACCCTGTCTCAAAAAGACAAAATAAATAAGTAAATAGATAAAACCATTTGGTGCCTCACAACTGAAATTGCACCCAAAGTAGACTCATTAGAATATTCATCATTTTGTGTTTGGGTTATTTCACTTAGTATGTTTTTAAGGTTTGTCTGTGTTGTAGCATCCATTGTAATTTTTCTGTTAACACCCAGAATAATACTCCATTTTGTGTGTACCTGTATATTTTATATGTCTATGCTTCTGTTTCACTGTTTTTGCTTTAATGACTAACACTGCTATGACAGCCAAGTAAGTGCTGCAGCCCTGCTTTCACCCTTTGGGAGTATGGGAATGGCTATGTGGTTATTTTAGTTTTTTGAGGTGCCGCCATACTTTTTCACAGCAGCTGCAGGATTTTATTTTCCCAAAAGGGTGTGTAATTTCAAACATAAGTCCAGTACATTAGAATTCAGTCCTTTGAAAATTGGGACTTTGTCTTTTGTTGGAGGTACTTGTCAAATATATATAGTAGTGTGATCTTTTTACTTCTCACATTGTGAGTACAATGATAGTAAGAAAAACGTTTTTAAGAATAGAAACAAGTCCTCTTTGATATACATGTGTTCAAGGTCTATTGGAATAATTGATAAAGAATAATAATCAGGATACAAAGTTAAAAGAAAAAGTCACCTTCAAGACAGACAAGAAAATTAGTCTGACCTCAACATCAGAATTCACTGGGGATGAGGTTAAAATAACTAGGGTTAGTTGTGGTTGCAGAATCAAACATGACAAAGTAAAAAATAGGCTCCAAATTTACATAAGGAAAAGGATAGTAATATGAGTATCTAACATTTTATGCCTATTTGACTTTATTCTGTTCAAGTAAAATTTAAGTTTTTATTAAAATAGAATTTTTATGACATGAATTTTGTCTTAGCATTATCATATACTTGGTATGTAAATTTTTTCTGTAGCACTGTGTTGTGTATGTACACAGAGGATGTGTACAGTGATGTTAGCATCACTGGGTACTCTTGATGGGTATTTGGGATATAATTTATTGCATTCCTGCATGTGGCTTTCTCCACCTCTGAAATAATGGGTATACTGTACCTCGCGTTGGGAAACATAGTCTGCACAGTTGTGCACGCTATACCACCCCACCCCGCAGCATAGAGGTACTTTGGGTCTGGAGCATGTCCAAAGGGACAAAGAGACCTGCTAGCCTGTCTTGGGCAGATCTCTTTGTTTGGGAGTATTTTTCTGTCCTGTGCTTGTGTACCTCTTTGTTCTGCTTAAGTATGGGCTGTGTGTGTGACGGCCCAGCACCTGGCCAACCCTGCTGCTCTGTTGCCTGCTGGGAGGGAATGGAGCTGCAGCTTTGCCCGTGGCATGCTGGGGTATGGATACTATCTCCCTGTGTAGGTGTGAAGACCACCTAGCGATGGGGGGGTTTGCTTACTATTGAAGGGGATATTTACTTTGTCTTCATATGAGTGAAACATTGTTCCTGCCAGTATGAGTCATGTCCCTTTTGGGAACTACAGCACCTACCTACAACTCACCTGGGGCTGCTGCTGTGTTAGATGCTCTGCTTTTTGCTGTTCTCCACATGACTCCTCCCATAATGGTGGCATTCGTTCAAGATACCATTTTTACACAAACAAAAACCTTAAAAATCAGAGGTGTAGATGAGTTGAAGGTAGCATACACATGGTTAAAAGTAATGAAAGGTTGAAATCAAGCAGTAATGGCAAGCATGGAGAAAAAATAGATCTGATCAGCATTTAGAAGGTAGAAAAAGCAGTACTTGTGTGCAACTCGGAAATGGGAAGAACTGAACAAGCTTGGGGGATGATGTGGCGTAGATAGGGGATGGCATACTGAGTATATGATGCATTCCAATTTCAGCAGTGCGGAAGAGTGTGTATTTTAGGGAGAAGACTGTTGAGTTGTTATGGAAATGTTGAGAAAGTTCTGAGAGTAGTAGAAAATGGAAGATGATTATCCTGTATGTTTTTTGTACAGTATAAGTGAAGCCATTGGTTACTCCAGTTTGGTGTGGTAGAGATTTGTAAATGGGGTACAGAGGTAGAACTAAATGAGCTCATTGGTTTGATGCACACTGAGTTCTTCCACAAGTGTCTAGTATCCTTGTGCCACTTGGTTGCACTTCACAGGCACTGCTGTTTCAAGTTTCATCCATGTCATTTTCCTACACTAGGTTGCAGTTATTTGTGAATGCTTATACTTTGAAAGGTTTTTCCAGATTGCCATATTAACGCAGGGAACTATGTTCAAGTAGATATTTATAGGGTAAGAATATATTGTGAGAGGAGCCTGTGATTGCACTATAAATTTAATGTATCTCAGGCTCTAGGGCTCCATCTCTTGTAAAATTCATCGTAAGATAACCATCTAAGAAAGAAAAACTGCTGTACACCTTTGTGGAAATGCTTTCCTGGAACATAGATTTGAAGATGCATGCCAGTTTGGGAGATTCTAAGATCTGGAAGAGTATGTATTTTAAAAATAAAGTTATTTTGTGTATTTAAATTAGTTTGAACTATTTTTAAAAGAGGTAACTCACAAGCCCTAAGATGTTACATAGCAACAGAAGATAGCATATGGAATTTCTAAAGTCCCTTTTAGCAGCTCTGACTTTTTGTGTGGAGGGGGGCGTGCAGTGCTGGGACCAAACCCAGGGCCTATATATCTTTTCTTTTTCTTTTTTTTTTTTTTTAAAGAAGGATAACATAGTAATAGGGGGGCTTACCAAATTACAGACAAATAGGAAATTATCAATGGTTACTGGTTTACATATTATTATCTACAAGATAGTTTTTCAGGAAGACAAATACACAAATAATAGTGAGCTACCGACAAAAGTGGTAGGTTATTATCAATGATTGCTGTACTATACTTTGGTATTTTCAAAGTGGTTTCTAAAAATAAACAGCTCTACATGAGTGACCAATTGAATATTCATTGACTATTCTCAATGGTTGTTGTAGGAAATACACTAATAAACATACATCCATTTACGAAATAGCATAGGGACAATACAAACATTACAGAGTTATGGACAGATTAGTAGGAAAATATTAATGGCTGCTGTAATACATGGTGTTATCTTCAAATTGGTTTCTCAGGAAGACAGATATATACAAGAAAGATCTAACAAGTAGTGACAGCCTTAAGGGTTGTGAAAAATAGCGTATTACCTCCTCACCAGTGATTCCTTTCACTGAGATGTGACGGCTGGAAGGCCAGCATTGAAAAGAAGGACTGAGAGACTTGCACCGGTGTCTAGCAACAGGGTGTTTTCTTTTTCCTCCATAGTCATGATCACCCGGGGCTCCTCCATGGAGATGACCGTCTGGCCAGAGGGAGAAGGCAGAGCATGCCCCGGGCCCCCTCATTCCTGTTAGACTAACTGGTAGGATTGGTCTGAGCTCTGAGGCCTCGGCTTCAGAGGGCAGATCGATGGGCCTATATATGGCCTATATATCTTAGTGCTCTACCACTGAGCTACATCACCAGCCCTAATAGTCTGGCTTTAATTTGTCTAAATGTCTAGCATTCAGAATAGTACGAATAGTACAGGGAGTATTTAGAAGCAGATAGTATTTTCAGCTGCTTTAAAATCAGACTTCAGCCCAGGGATACAGCTTAGCGGCATAGTGCCTGCCTGGTAAGCACAAGGTCCTGAGTTGGATTTCTGGTATGAAAAAAAGATAAATAAAATAAAGTAAAATTAGAGTTTAGTATAAGACTGGTAGCTTCTCACATAAGTCACAACTCAAATATACTAGCTCCTTGTTTTTCAGTACTCTGGTTATGTTATTGCTGATGAATCAATTGTAATTGTAATTGCCTTTTTTTAAACATTCAGGATGGATGCAACCTTGAAAGAACTAACTAGTTTAGTAAAAGAAGTCTACCCAGAAGCTAGGAAGAAGGGCACACACTTCAATTTCGCAATCGTTTTTATGGATCTTAAAAGACCTGGCTATCGGTAGGTTACTTCTTGGTTTTAATTCCTCTAATCATCTTTGGTAACATTTTAATGTTAGGATAATCCTTTCAATCAGTGTCTTTAGTGGGGTGGGTGGTTTGTGGATTTATATTATCTTCATGTCTGGTTTAGCTTCATGTAGTCCTTAAATTTTTGAACTGTGTTATAGAGCAAATCCAGCCCTGTGTTTATACTCAGTTCTTTCCGTGGATTTATAGTGCATTCACAGCTGATTTCCTTTCCTGCAGAGTTAAGGAGATTGGCAGCACCATGTCTGGCAGAAAGGGGACGGATGATTCCATGACCCTGCAGTCACAGAAGTTCCAAATAGGCGATTACTTGGACATAGCGATTACCCCTCCAAATCGGGCACCACCTCCTTCAGGGCGTATGAGACCGTACTAAGTTTTATCTGCTTCCTCTCGAATTTATTTTTCACCCAACTATGTAAAATAAACTTACATACTTTTCTCCTCCCCTGATTTTTGCCATGAAGCCTTTAAATTTAAACAAATTGCAACGCATCTATTTAGGAGTTAGACTTGGTTACTGTGGTATGAATATTAATAGAAAGTCTGTAAAATATGAAAGTGCTCTTAGCATTCTGTGAAAAAACTGTACTGTTAAATATATGTGTGCAATCAGCTTGAGTGCAAGAGTTCATGGAAGCACAGGGACAGGGTTTCAGCTGATTTGGAGGTTATACTAGGTAGAGGGTATTTTAAGCCCCTAGGGGGCAGAACAAGAAAGCCATGGGATTATATGAGTTTGAGCACAAATTTGTAGTAAAGAGTTAGGGTTTTTGGGGTTTGTTTTTGTTTTCTGGTGCTGGTGATCCAACCCAGGGCCTCATGCAATGCTAGGCAAGCGCTTCACCACTGAGCTACATCCATACCCAACAGAGGCTTAGAATAGTATGAACCAAGGCAAATGTAGGAAGCTGCTCAGTTGGAAGAGATTGGTCTGGCTAGAAGAACAGTGCTACAGTGAAGTCCCTGGAGTTCACAGTGAGGGAGAAGGGCATTTTAAAGGCAAGAACCAATACAATAGAAGGGGTGCAGCTCAGGGGAAGGGTAGGAAGATTTACCTTTAAGACCTGAGGAAGGGAGTGGTGAACAGACTCAGCGCCTGTTAGTTGGCAGGCACTGGTGTGTATTCGATCTGAGGCAGTGTAGGATGGTGGTTAAGACCAGGGGGACAAAGCATTTAAATCTTGACTCTGCCAGTTACTCTGCAGACTAGGACACGTTGCTTGAATCAAGTTTTTTTTTTAATAGAAATACTAGCCTATAGAATTGTTCTGTTAAATATTTGTAAAGGCTTACAGTAATGCCTGACAGGTAAGAAACAGTAAATATTAGAGATAAGTCTGGAACCTAGATCTAGTGGCTCTGTTACGCTGTAGGTCACCCCATGCAACCCATAGATTATTCATTCAGGCTAGATGGACTTGACTTTTAGATACAGAACTCCTGATTTTGTGTAGAACAGCAGTGACTACCTTCTCACTTGATGGGGGAGGGAAATAGGATTTATTATGTGGATCTAGTGGGTAGGAACTAAGAAAAGGCCATTTTTTATATGCTGTGAACTTTTATAAAGGTTCTCATAGAATCCCAAATCGTTCTCCCATGTAAAGTAGTTTGGTTGCTTTGTCTCATTCCACTTTGCTTGGTTCCAGCTGGAACTTTTCCTTTACAGATAGGCTGCGGTTTTCTGCCAAAAGCACAGTTAAAGGGTGGTGTAGATAGTAACTGAGCTATTCCTTCAGAAAAATAAATGGTCGCCACAACAGCATCTTCCTTAGTGTTTTGTATCTGTCAGCTGCCTCACTAGGGGGATTGAAACTAAATTGCAGCATATGACACCCTCCTCTGTCTTCTAGCTTTCCCACAGCAAAGCTGGGACTGTTGTGTATGCCCAAACTCTGTTGACTCAGGTAATGTTTTGGGTGTCAGTTGTGTACGTGTTGTGCACACATGCATGAGTGGGGGAGAAAGCTATTAAACTCTTAGGCCAGGTTTAAAATTCTCTAAGGTTCAAACTGTTGTTCTTTAATAAAAAAAAAAAAAGCTGAACTTGGCCTACCTCTTTGCATTCAATCAAACACATATTCCAAACTTGGTTTTTTGTGACACTGAAAAGGCAACACTCAAATCAGGCTTACCATAATAATGATTTAAATGATTAACCGCTCAGTTTACCAGGTGTCATTTTACTGAGCCTTATAACTGAGATGCTGTGACTCGTTTCCATTCAGATAAGAGCTCTACTTTAACAGCTCAGTAGTGAGACATACACAGCTGGGTGTGGTGGTACACTCCTATGGTCCTGCTCTGGGAAGCTGAAGCAGGATTGAAAGTTTGAGCCCAGGCTGAGCAATTTAGACCCTATATCCAAAAAAGCCTGGGAGTGTAGCTTAGTGCAGAAGCCCTGGGTTTAATCCCCAGTACTTTCAGAAAAAGAGTAGAGTATGTGGACCTTTCATCCTCAATTCATTGCAGTCTGGTTTCCACCCACACTAGGCTGACACTGCTGTCATAATGAAGTTACGCCCTCCAGGTAGTAAGTGTCCGCCAAGACAGTCACCTGTCAAGTGTACCAAGTATACCTTACTGTGTACCTAGTTTTTATACAAACATCTAAATATGGTCATGGGATCTGACTTCTTTTTACTTAGGCACACATTGTTTTTGCCAGTAGCTATGATTTCCTGGGGTCTGTAATAAAACAAGTTTGAAGGAACCATATTCTATTAGAACTCCATGACTAGGCTATTTTATTTAGACGTAGACAGGGATTTTTTTTTTTCCCAGTTAAAATTCCAGAGAGCTAGGGACAGGCTAAAACCTAAAAGCTATTTTAATACTATATATTATATTAATTTAATAAAAGTCCTTATTATGCAGAGTTTATTGTAAAATAATGTAGTAAGATCCAGAGCTTATAAGATTTAGAAGTCAATGAGGCTGGTGGATAGTGAGCAATAAATGTTAGCTCCTTTGAAGTAAACAAGGGAAAAGGCATTTTTGCTGTTCAGAATTTCCAACTCCGCCTAGGCTAGCATGCCAGCCCAGTTAAAACCAAGTTTGAAGAATTATTCATAAAATCTGAGAAAAGCCATTAGCCAAGTATGGCAGTACATACCTGTACTTCTAATTCTTGGCAGGCCTGCAGCAAGAGGATCAAAAGTTCAAGTCCTGCCTAAGCAAGTTATCAAGACTCTGTCTTATAATAGGGCTGAGATATAGCTCAGCGCAAGGGCCCTGGGTTCAATCCTCACTGCCATCCAAAAAAAACCTCTCAAGGGGTTCTCAAAATCTCACATTCCTGATTAGGTTTGCTTAGCACTTTGAGTACCATATCATCTGTATCAGTACTGTAGGCCTACCAGTACAAAGATTAGGAAGTCTCAAGAACCTAGCAAGGAAGAAAGCATACGTAATACTATGGTAAGAGGTGACCAGGAAAGGTATCACAAAGAAAAATGGCCACCGAAGGCAGTGCTGTGTGATAAGATGAGTTTTCTGGGGGTGGCAAAGGAGCTTGCTTAAGTCTTAAAGAAGTGGACTTGTGATCCAATAAAGGATACAGCCTGAGCAGAAGAGGAAATGACAACTCCCAGCTTTTTATGTACTGCTGACAGGAAAGGGAAAAAAGTCATCAAAGGCTCAGTCTCCTCATCTGAAAAATCAGGTGCCTACCTCAAAAAAATTCAAGAATCAACTAATAACGTTTACAACCATTCCTGGCTTAGTAAAATCTCAGTGACTGATGTTCTCACCAATTCATTAGATATGCCGGGCACCGGGCAATGAACATAACGAGTCTTTGCTCTTGACATGTGATCCAGGGGGGCAGGAGAACTTAGAAATACTCTCCAACAAGTATTTCACTGTAGAGTGAGCCAAGTAGTGTGAGGGATGAGAATGCTGAGAAAGAACTAAGGGAGGACCTCTCACTGGTAAAGTCTTTGATAAAATGACAGTCTGTAGCAGAAGGGCCAGGCATGGCGGCACATGCCTATAATCCTAGCACTCAGGAGGCTGAGGCAGGAGGATCATTGTGAGTTCGAGACCAGCCTGGGCTACAAAGTGAACCCAAGGCCAGCCTGAACTGCATAGCAAGACCCTGTCTCAAAAAGACAAAAAAAAAAAAAATCTTTACAGTGAAATAACCAGTGCCTGCCTGGCAAGTGCAAGGTCGTGAGTTCAAATCCTGGTACCAAAAAAAAGAGTGAAATAAAATTCCAGCTGGCTAACGGAAAGTTGGTGAACCATTCACCTGAGAAGTCCAGGGATAGAGCTAGCTGGCCTCAGCCAGCTTACGATGCCATCCAACTTCAGGAATGCTTGGGCGCCTGTGTGCCGGCTGCCTGCACCCCAGACGGGGGTAGCACGCTGCTCTTTCACAGTACTTCCCTGAGCCCCCGCACTAGCTCATGCTTGCCTGGGGCACAGCCAGTCACTGGCAGGGTCAGTTGTGGAGCTGCTTGGTTGAGCCAGAGCTGGGCTACATGTTGTTAAGTACAGTAGTAGGGGGCAGAAAACAGGCAGCCATCCACTGCTGCAGGAGAGGAGAAAGTGAACCATGCTAGGCATGGTAGCACATGCTTATAATCCCAGCACTATGGAGGCTGAGGCAGGAGGATCGCTTCAAGTTCAAGGCCAACCTGGGCTACAAAGTGACTTCAAGGCCACCCTGAATACACAGTGAGACCCAATCTCAATAAAAACCAGGTGTGTCTGTGTGACTCAAGGCAGAGAGCAGCCAGTGTGTGCAAGGTCGGGGCAGGAGGAATGGGGACACGGAAAGGTTAGGTATGGTCAGGGCAGACACAGCGGGGGATGTCAGCTGGGGTCAATTCGTGACAGTCATGGGAGATCCCAACGTGAGGTTTGAGGAGTTGGGAAGTATCGCTGTTCTAAGCAACAAGTCAGAGGGTGTAAGGGAAGGATACATTTTGGACAAGCTAATTTTAAGGGGCCAGCGCTATCACAAAACTGGAGGACCCTTGCAGACAAACCAAAGCCTAAATCCTTACTGCCCATCTGTAATACACCTTTCCGCTCATCTTCCCCTCCTGGCTGCCTGTTTCAACAAAACAAAAGAGCTGTCCAAAGCCATGGTCTCCTGCCCCACTGTCCCCTTCAGTCCCTCCCACACCTCTTTCCAGCATGCCACCAAAACTCATCCGCGTTAGTAGTAACGTCGCCTCCTTCCTGTCCCCTTGTCCGGCGTGTCTACCTCTTCCCTCCTTCAGCACCCATCGGGTTCTGTGAGCCGGACAGAGGCGGGTGAGCAGGAAAAGAAAGGCAAAGGTCGGTCATCAGCATATATAAGGGTGATGCAAATATATGGCGTTTACAATTCTTCAAACATCTGCAGTAAAAGACGTTGCCAGGAATGACGGGTGTGTTCAAACTGAGGGGAAATGTTTCCTCGGGGATTCCTGAAATGTCTGTCACTGCGGCTTGGCAGTCACTATTTTTTTTACTCACATCTTGTTGATCAACTGTTCACAGCAGTTTCTGTCATGTAAACTGCTGTGTCCTCATCTGCCTTACTCACCAGATGTGGCTCGTCCCCAAAGTCAAAATTACTTTGAGTCAAAACATTTTCCATCAATTCACAACATTAAGGCAGCTGCAACAGCACAACTGACAGCATCGAGGACTCAGAGCTGTTCCTGAAAGTGGTGAGGATGACGACAATGTTTGAAGCAAGGGGGAGGACTCTGGGGATAAGTAATGGCGTGTGTCTTTTACTGTGATAACTTTTTAAACATTTAAAACATTCACAGCCAGGCATGGTGGTACACACGTGTAGTACTTGGGAACCTGAAGCAGGAGGACTGCGATGAGTTCAAGGCCAGCCTGAATTACATAGCAAGACCCTGTCTTAAAAAACAAACAAACAAACAAAAACCTGTATGGTTTGATTGTGTCTCACACTGGTAGAATGGAGCTTTACCTTCAAGAAATTAATTATCTTGGCTGGGCATGGTGGTAAATGCCTGTAATCCCAGCAATTGGGAAACTGAGGCAAGAGGATCACCATGCGTTCAGGCCAGCCTGAATTACACAATGAGATCCTGTCACCGAAAAAAACCCAACCAGAACCTATGTATCTTAGAAGTAATTTACTTTACATTATATTTAATAACTACACAGTTCCTAGAACAAGGCACAAATCAGGCTTCTTTTTGGTGACAATTTTGTGACGAAATAGAGCACAATGAGATGAGTCTTCTGTTTTTTGACTTTTTTTTTTGGTACCGGGAATCAAACGGAGGACCTTGAGCTTGCCAGGCAGGCGCTTATGCCACTGAGCTATTTCTCCGACCCTGAGTCTCCTGTTTGCTGTTCAGAGCAGTCACGTAATTTTCCCATCATCAAATTCCTACAGCTAAGCCTCTGAGGTGCCGCCACATGATGCCTGTAAGTTGCTTCATTTGTAACTGGTCTCTACAGAACACAGGCTCCTTAATGACCTAGTGGCTAGAACCTGAAAAGTTCTTCCAGCAGAACCACGGTAACTGCTCTCCAGCTAGCTGTCTTAATCAGAAGAGTCTCAGGATCGATCGGCAGCTGAACCTACAGGCAGTTCCCAGGTCCTGAGGGCCAGGCCGAGCTGTCAGGATGCTCCCAGTGGGGCTCAGGACCTGCTGCAGAGCCAAGCCTGAAAGCAAGGCCAGAGAAGCCAGCAGCCGCGTGTGGAAGGGGCTGATGTGAAGGAGTGAAACCAACACACAGTGAAAAGCCAGGAGAAGGAAGAAAAGCACACCCGCAGGAGTGCCTGGCTCCGGAGGTCTGAGACGCTGTGCGTCTCCACTCGTCACAGTGTAGCTGCCCGATCCAGAACCCCCTTTTCCTGAGTGCACCTGACTCTGGCCTGCAGAGAGCAAATCTTAAGAGAGCACTGATTAAGTAAAAGAGGTAAGAAACGGGGACAGTCATGAAGGAGACAATAGAACGGTAGAGCGGAGACGGCAAGAAGATCAGGGAGGCCTCGTCAGGCACAAATGTTAGCCTTTATTTACATTTTTATGAAATCATTTGCTCCACCTCTACTTCCTGTTATGTAAACCATTCTGTTAAATAGTGATTTAGAAATATACACAGTAATCTTGAAAACTGACTAACAAGGTACATATGAACAAGATTCAAACCAAATCAAAACTTGCTGACTTCATATAAAGTATATTATGATACCATTGTCCATGTTCCTCTTTCAAATGGGTTGGTTTTCAGAGGAAAATGGGGAAGGAATGTAAATAAATGCAGCTCTGCTTCGTTCTATTCTGTTCAGTTTCTGTAATGGATACAATTTCTGTAAACAGAAATTTAAAATGTCAGGTAAGTATAATAAAAATCCATCAACAAAACACATGACAACACAGTGGCTATATATTTTACATTTACAAAGTACAGTACAGTGATACCTCAGCTCACCAACTTAATTTTCTACGATTTTGGAAAGGACGGCCAAGCTTGTGTGTCACCTGATACAGAGTTTGTAAACAAACACAGAATTTCTGCCAAATGCTTCTGTTTGCAAACAAAAGTGCTTGTGAACTGAAGTTCCACTCTAGTTGGGAGTAGATTCCCACTGAGATCAGCAAACACGGTAACTTGGGGATCTGAGACTCACAGGCCACAATTTCTGTGTCAAGACAGAAAACAGGCTATTAATCTAAGCTGGTATATGTCACTTAAAACGTTTTTTACTGGTGTTTGTTTTAAATGTCTTCCTCACATAACACACATCCTTTCTTTAAACAACAGCGCACTCACTTTCACCAGTTTTCTTTGTTGCCAACCTCTGGGACGTTCCATCCTCCAGGTTTAGGGAGCCCTTTCCTGGGAGGCACTGCTTTCACGGCTACTGGAGTAGCTAGATTTGAGTTGTATTTTGACAAAATCTAAAATAAAAATAAAGGCCTTTTGATCAAGTTGTACAAATGACATAAGACTAGAAGGCATTATGAAACATTCAAAGGAAGCCACTGAAAATGTAAAGATAAAGATTACTTAAAATATTTAGAATGCTTTTAGCAGTATATACATTCAACAGCAATAAAACATGGAGCTACTAGAAATTTAACTTGGATGTCAAAGTTTGACCTTCAGAACCTTCCAAGATGCACTCTACCTTAGTCTAATGGAAACAAAGTAGCAAAACACCCAAGGGCAAATTAAGCCTTTACAAAGATGTCAGGGAAATACAGAGAAGAAAAATCTGAAATGAATCTTCACAAGACCATCACTTACAATGAGTACAAAAGGCTTTTGGTTTTTTTCTTAATCTTTTTGAGACAGGGTCTCACTATGCAGTTTAGGCTGGCCTAGAACTCACTTTGTAGAGCAGGCTGGTCTCGAACTCGAAACAATCCTCCTGCCTCAGCCTCTTGAGTGCTGGGATTACAGGCATGTGCCACCACACCCAGTTTAATGAGTGTAAAATAATCTAAAACATCACCAATTGTTTCAGGCATAAATAAGTGATATATTTTAAATACAAGGTTTCACTCCTTTCACAAAGAAATGAGAGAGGAATGAAGAAATGAGAGAAGAAAATGCAGATGATGTTCCTTCTTTACCCAGTTTATATCTCCCATGAAAGCAAGAAACAAAAAAAAACCAGGATAACAGATATTTCTGTATCACAGGATGAGCCAGTTCTGATAGCATTAGCTATATTCCCAAGTGATTTGTCCTTCCCATGGTGCTTCATAAACTAGGACTATTTCTAGGATAGCTATTAAAAATGCCTTCTGGGAGCTAGTATCACTAAAAATATGGCAAGTCTGGTTTGTACACAGCTCAGAAGATGTTTAGCCAGGTGGTCTTAGAAAGGCCTATCAGCCTAGAATTTTTTTATTTTCTCAACCAAAACTAATACACTAGCCTGATGATAAATATGACACTTTATATGCAATTTCAGGTCTTAAGTATCTAATTTGAAAACAGTATCCGAAAAAAAAAGTCCTGTCTGGAAATGTTACCTGGAGAACATCTTGTGGAATAGTAGTTACTTCTGGAGGTGTGGGTGTTCTGAGCAGATTCTCGTAAGACGAAATTGTAGGAGAGGAGGGGTCTGCAAAATTCTGCAAGCACTGGTCTGAGTTTAAAACTAATGAAGTACAATCTTTAACTTCAAAATCATTTGAGGAACTGTGTGTTTCTGATAACGGATAATCTGTGGATACCTACAAAGTAAAAAGAAATCGTTAGGTTATGGTAGTAAATAAAAATTATTGGGAGTCTCTACTAGCTGCAAAATGATCCCTTTTTCCCTAACCAAGTTCTACACAAATCTAGAAATACAAAGAAATGGCATGTGGAAAACAAAGTATCTTCATTACTAATAAATACTTGCGCTGGGGATTTAGCTCAGCGGCACAGCGCCTGCCTGGCAAGCGCAAGGTCCTAAGTTCGATTCCTGGAACTAAATAGAATATTGCCCCAACCCAATTTAAATGGCCTCGCCCACCCTGTCTCAGGCAGCACTAAACTGGGCCGAATGAGAGTCCCGAGAGTCCCAGCACGCATGAGCAAATGCCTCCACAGGCCCTCAGCAGCTCCTCCGAGTCAGCAGCTCTGAGCTAAGCTCCAAGTGCTGCGTACTCCTGCTAGGCCGATCACACAGGGAAGTCACTTTTGTCTCCCTAGGATCAGAGTTATTTACAAAGAGAGGGTCTGGGAGTACCACGTCAATATACCTTCTGTGGGAATCAAAACATGAAGCAAATTAACTGTGAAGCCAACTACCAACAGGCTGATAACCTGATACAAGAACAGCGCTGTTGAGCTACAGCTGCGCTGACCACTCCATTACCCACAAACCACAGGGGGCTGTTTAGCAATGTTTTTAAAGTGAAAAATTAAAAATTAGTTCCTCAGCTGCACTAGCTGGATTTTATGTGTTCAGTAACTAACTATATATATATTTAGTGAACATATTAAACACTGCAGATTATGAAACATTTTCAATCATTATCTACAATTCTACTGGACACCCCAATAGAGTATTGTTTGTTTATAGTACCAGTTGTTTTAAGTGTTACTACTGACTCTAAAAAGTAATAAGCTTTTGATTATTGTTAACTTTAACTAGAAAAATTTAGAGGAAACAAAAATCATTAAATCACCCAAACTTTGGTGTTAATTAGCAACATGTATATTTAAAACACATGTGTCTGGGCCAGGTGTAGGGGCGCATGCCTGTAATCCCAGCACTCAGGAGGCCAAGGCAGGAGGATCGTTGCAAGTTCGAGACCAGCCTGGGCTGCAAAGTGAGCTCAAGGCAGGCCTGAACTGCATAGTGAGACCCTGTCTCAAAAAGACAAATAAAGTAAAATGAAATTACACGTGTCAGGAACTAGCATTGTATTTGAGTCATTACAATTTTATAGTTTTCAGTTTTACAGAAATTTACCAAAGCTGTGTTGTTCTTTGTAGAAGGAACTTTCAAACCAGGAGTGCAGAAGGTAGGTGCCAAAGGGGAATCTGTATACTCGGTATCTGGAAGACAAATGGGCATCAAAACGGATTTGAAAATAAAGTTGAAATAAAAATTTCATCTTTAAGAGTTGTCCATATAAGGGGCTGGGGATTTAGCTCAGTGGCAAAGCGTCTGCCTGGCAAGAGCAAGGTCGTGAGTTCGGCTCCCAGTACCGGAGAAAAAAAACAAAAAACAAACAAACAAACAAAAAAAAAAGAGTTGTCCATATAATCTGTGCACTTATTAACAGCTTAAAAAACAGCTGGACGGGCCTGGGGATTTAGCTCAGCGGCAAAGCGCCTGCCTGGCAAGCACAAGGTCGTGAGTTCTGTTCCGGGTACTGGAAAAAAACAAAAAAACCCCAAAAAACAAAAAAACCAGCTGGACATGGTAGCACACGCCTGTCATCCCAGATACTTGGCACCAGTTGGTAGCCAGTCTGGGCAGGACCCAGTCTCAAAATGAAAAATAAAAAGGGCTGGGGATGTGGGTCACTGCACTGGGGTTCAAGCTCAGTAACATACCAAACAAACAACAAAGCTTAAAAATTTAACTACATTTTGTGCTTGACTGCACCAGAAAAAAAAAAAACCTCATTCAGATACATTTATCATTAGCATAAAAAGTCCAGCAAGAGCCAGGCGTGGTGGCATACACCTATAATCCCAGCACTTGGAAGGCTGAGGCAGGAGGATTGTTGCGAGTTCGAGACCAGCCTGGGCTACAAAGTGAGCTCAAGGTCAGCCTGAACTGCATAGTAAGACCCTGTCTCAAAAAGAAAAAAAAAAAAAAAAAAAACTCCAGCAAGATTACAAGAACAGTACATACACAACTGAATGGTTTTGTTTTAACACAATGATTCAAATAAACAAGCTCTTAAAAAAATATTGTATTTGAAAAAGTCTCACAGTAGCAACAAAGATAACTATAAACAAATCTATTGAAAATTGTGTAAAACCTTAATAGAAAAAAATTACTAAACTGTTGAAAAAGGAGAGACATTCATTTGCTCTCCAAGGTATCACAACTTACTTAAAAACTATAGTAACTACAAGCAATGTTCACATGGACCAGCAAGGAAAAACTGACTACTGTAATAAAAGACCCGGGCATGGAGACTAGCTTTCTAGAGCACAGTACCGAAGCGATCTGTAACACGTTTCCGCCAGCCTGAACCATGGATGGTGTGAGTGGCAGAGTCACACAGGGAACATCATGCAGGCACTGCCGGTGGTTCAGATGCCCAGCAGGCAGGGAGACACACATATCACGGCTCCTCGTGAATGTGCTAAAAAGAAACCACCCGCTGAGTGCTGCTGGGACTGAACAGCCCCCCTCGAGCCCCACCCCTCCCTATCGTCTCCCACAGCCAGCAGCCCGCCACTCTTTCCGCCCCTTGCTGAGGCAGTGAGGGTGACGACCTGCTGCTTCCCGCTGGCATGTAAGAATTCAGCAGAGAAGCACAGAAGACCTACTGCTGTCTAAGGATCACTGGTGGTCGTGACAGAAATTGGTAAAGACGTGTAAGAAATCTGCCCGCAGTGGGACTGTACTCGAGCATCCAGAACCTGGAGAAGGGGCCCCGCTCCAGGGTGGCCTGCGGAAGGACACGCGCCACTTCCTGCGGAGTGGACTGGCCATGGGCGATCCGCTGGAGGTGCGTGTGTTTCAAGTGCCTGTGGCTCACTGATGCTTCAGTGAGGGTTTCCTTGCAATGAGAACTCCCTGCTCATGGCTTGTGAAACTCCTTCATGCGATAAACTGAAGAGAGACACGCTATCTAGTCTTGAAGTCCCTCATTTAAACAGAGGTCCAGGAGTAGGTACTGCCAGTGTCCAGCCTGAAGCAAGCAACAGGATGTTCAGCCAAGCCCAGTCTCCGGCCCGGCAGCCGCGTCTCATCAAAAGCTCCCAGGCTCTCCCTCTGCAGTCCTCTGCCCTGAGAGAACGCGGCCAGAACAATACCAGGAAATCCTGAGGGGCGGGGTGGGCAGCAGCGGAGGCTGCTCCGCCAAAGGGAGCCTTGGGTGCTAACAGCCCGCTGCAGTCTACCTCCAGGGAGGTGACAAGGTGTGTGTTTGCCCCACAAGCCACAGACTTGACACCCTAGCAAAGGGATGTTCAAACAATGGCGGGAGGCGGCCTGACGCCAGTTACGCCTCACAAGGAAACAAACACCAAGCTGATGCTGCGAGTCACACAGCCAGCTACGGAGCTCACAGCTCACTAGCAACAGCTGCCCAAGACGTTAAGTAAACTCGGTTTGGTTTTCTTTCTCCCTTATAATTTTTTTTTTTTTGGTTTTTCTCTGGTACCGGGAACCGAACTCAGGACCTTGCGCTTGCCAGGCAGGCGCTTTTGCCGCTGAGCTAAATCCCCAGCCCCTTCTCCCTTATAATTTTGATGTTATGTTTTGTTTATTTGTTTGCTTGTTTTTTTGAAGACTCGGTCTCCCTCTGTAGTCCAGGCTGGCCTTGAAATCCTGGCAACTCAAGGCACTACCTATGGAGACCTTGTCTCAGAAAAAAAGAATAAAGATTATCAAGTGCTAGAAAAGATAGAAAAACAGGTACTCCAATGCTACCAGTAAGATTACATCACAAGAGTCGCTCTTCAGCAATATTTAGGCATTGTCTAGGGCAAGTAAAAATATGCATGTGGTTGATCTAGGGCAGTGATAGCGAACCTTTTAGAGACCAGTGCCGAACTTGCAACCAAAAATCTATTTATTTATTGCCAAGTGCCAGCACTGCAATTAAACCTAAATACTGAGGTTTAGAAAAAAACAATTCCTACATTAACATCTGTCGTAAAAGAAAAACAACACCAGGGCCACAGGTTCTGCCACCACTCACCTGGGGATTCTATTTCTAGATGCAAGATATACACATACACAAAAGGAATTTCACTAGAGCACCGACATAATAAAACATAAAACAACTATCTCTTAGTAAGCAAATAAATGTAATATGGCTTATTTATATAATGGAATACCACTTACTGATTTCTAAGGATGAAGAGGATTTACATGGATAAATACAGAAGCAAACTGTTGGGTGAAAGAAAAGAAGCAAGGTCAAAGAGATTATGAACTGGATGTTGCTACTCCTGTAAGATTTTAAAATAACAGAACTGCAGAAAAGATCATTACTCTTAGAAAAAAAGGAAGGACAAAGGAGCAGGGCTGGGATTTAGCTATACGGACAGTATTTCTTTTATTGCAGCAAAGGTCTGAAGCAAACATGGCGAGACGTTAAGGTCTACTCAGTCTGGTACTTATTTCTGAGTACGCACCTAAAACGCCAGGATTTTAAGACAAGCACCAGGAGTGAAACCCCGACGCACAGAGCCCAACGCCTACCACGGAAGCGCTGCATGTGCCCTGGCAAGCCGCAGCGCGCCGGGCTGAGCCTGGAAGGCAGGACAGCGAGTGGGGGCGCCCACAGGGCCCGGGGCGCAAGGGCACGCACGAGTCAGCACAGGGCTTCTCGGCCACGAGGTCGCCAACGGTTTGCCTGCTTGTCCCCCGGGGACTTGGCTGGGATGGAAGCAGCGAACGGCACCGCCTCAGAGTCCAGGGTGGACAGCTGTATCGGAACCAACTTCTGAGGATGAATTCACAGCGAGAAAGTCAAACTGTACGAAGAACCAGACCGCCAAGAGGAAACGCGCGCAGCAGACGTCCACCTCCGCGCCTGCTGTACGCGCGCTCGGGGGAGCCGCGCAGAGCGGGGAGCAAGGGAAGCGGAGCGCACGCAGGCCCGCCGCGCTTCAGGCACCAGGTCCCTCCGTTCCCTATAAATTTGAGGGAAAATGCTTACAAAATAGGAACGTATCTAGAGTGAAAGTTCAATAGATGGATTAAAATAATATTCACAGTGAGAGAGAAATAGTACACTGGAAAAAAGACCTACGTGAAGCACAAAGCAGCACAGAGAAAGAGAAGGAAAATAGGAAAGGAAAGTGAAGCCGAGCCAGGCGCGGTGGCCGACCCCAGCACCAAGGCCGAGGCAGGAGGACTGCCAAGAGCGCAAGGCCAACCTGGATTATAGAGTGAGACCCTGTCTCAAAAAACAAAGAAGGTGGAAAGGAAGCCAGAAACACAAAGTAGAATACACTCTAAAGGAATTTCAGGAGAAAAATTAAGAAACTAAAAGAAAGCTAGTATCTTTAAAGAAATAATGTCAGGGTATTTTCCAGAATTAATGACATGAATCTTTGTTTGAAAAAAGCATACTAAATTCTAACAATAAAAACAAATATAAATACAGATAAATTCCAGAGACTATCAAAGGTAAAGCAAAAATGTTAGAGACCACCAGAAAGAAGACATTATCTGCAAAGGAAAGCTAATCAGATCCGTAACACTGTGCCCATCAGCAGCAACAGATACTCAACACAATGGATAACTTCTTTAAAATACTGAAGAATCAATCCCCAGAAAAAGAAAGTACAAATGAGTGAAGAAAACAACTCTCCATCTAATGGTCTCCCCCCAGCTCCATCAGTCAGGAATGCGTGTGCAGGGCTAGGGATACAGCTCTGTGGTAGAGCGCTTGTCCCGTGCGCACAGGAGGCCTGGCTTCAGTCCCAGCAGCACAGGGGGAAGAAAAACAGGACACAAAACCAAAAAGATGTCTTCACACAGAACTGGATGGAGATGATTGCGCACACTAGAAGTAACATCTTAGAAAAACAAACTACCTGTGTATTTTACCGAGAAGAAAACAGTCCAGAAGGGATGAGTATAAGAAAAGAAACAATGTGAACACAGAAAACTGTGACCAAATTACCAGCGTTTAATGAGGCAGCACTATTTACCGGGAATAAAGGTACCTGGGGGGTGGGGGGGGGATAGGGCCAAGCAAAACACACCAAAAACCCTTAAACTTCCACCTAAGCGGATCAGTAACAGGTGACCCTAAGCTTTCCTTTCCCTCCACAGAATACACTACCTATGGTATATGGAGGGGCTTTAGGAAGTAACCTCTTCTTGAGAAAGCCCACCACTGCTCAGAAGTTACTTATAAACAGTCTCCTTTACCACTTTCTTTTTTTTCTGTCTTTTTGAGACAGAGCTTCACTATGAGCTTAGGCTGGTCTCGAAGTCACTTTGTAGCCCAGGTTGGCCTCGAACTCTCAGCAAACCTCCTGCCTCAGCCTCCCAGGTGCTGGAATTACAGGTGGGTGCCACCATGCCCAGCTCCTTTACCATTTTCTATAAAGTTTATACTCCAGGGCTGGGGACATAACTCAGCAGCCTGGCAAACAGGAGGTCCTGAGTTCGATTCCCAGTTCCCCCAAAAAAGTTTATACTTCATTGGGAACTGCTTTGAGCATGGTGTGAGGTGACAGTCCAATTTCTTTTAAAAAATCAGCATCTCTTTAGTGTAGTCATACTTTGTTTATATAATGTACACTATAAGCTATAATTATACTAACAGTTATACTAGCCTGCATATACTAACCTAATAAATAAGTTATACTAAGTTGCTCATGCTAGCAACACTTATTAATAACACCAGTTTATGTCAGTATAATTAGTAGAAAAAGAAAAGTTTTCTGAAAATGTCTAAAACTTGGGAAAATCTGATAACGAAAGTCATTTTTAATACATTTGCCAATAAATTTGGTGTAGATCAAATAATTATGAAAAATTACTCAGACTCTAGGATTTTTTAAATTTTATATTTATTTTCACACAAAAAACTAATGCTTTCATGTTTGCTGGGATAAATGTACAAATAGTACATGAAAATTTTCCTTAAGTTATTCAACTAGCTAAAAAAATTTGCAATTTGAAATGGCAGCCAGTATATTCTAGATGTGGTTTCTGAAAGAAAGATAATGTACAACTTTAATCAACAGGTACAGGCTAAACTAAAAGAGAAGAACTATGACTCTACACCAAAGGACTGGTGAGCGAGTATGTTTCCCTTGGTTGGGAGGTGGGGTAGGCACTGAGGATGGAACACAGAGCTTTCTCCCTGACTGCCATCCCCAATCTTGTGTACATTGCTTTTTGAATTTTAATTGCTTAGATGGGCTCCAACTTGCAATCCTCCTGCCTCAGCCTCCAAGAGTGCTGGGTTTACAGGCGTGTACCACCACACCCAGGTCAAACATACATGTTTTAAATTAAAACGTTAGTAACAAAACTGACAAATACTGAAAATGAACAGTATTAAAAATGTATCAAAAACTGTTCTTTCTCTTGGAAAAAATCATGACAAACATGAGCAGAATTGTACTTAATAAAATTCAATGTTGCAGATTAAAAAGATGCAGAAAACTATTAGAATATCCAAGATGATAGTTGGTAAAGAATATAGCTGAGAAGTTGCTTTTTAAAACTCACCCCTTTTTTCCAGCTGCTGGATTACAGGGCCAGGCGTGGCAAAGCAATTATCACTGGTCATGGCTTCTGTTTCTACGGCCACCTCCCTGGTGATAATTCATGAGAAAATCATAAAATTAAAATAATATTAAACCTCCGAGGAAAAATTTAATCTTACAATGTATCATGGAGCCTAGACTAGTTCAGCTTTTTTTTTTTTAATGGAAGGAAAGTCCCACAGAACAAATCTTTTTAAAATATGCATACTTAGCTGTGGTTCATAAAAGGTTAACAACCATTTCTACTGACAGTCATGAAAGTGCAGTAAGAATCTGTAACTTATAGGAAAATTAAGCTCAACTCATTAGTTTAAAATGGAAATTATGTAGCTCATGGCTTCAAAACCATAAAGTAGAATTTTGCAACCTGTGTACAGAAATAGATAAAAAGCTGTCAATGTTTTAGAGTAAAAACTGATTCTACCATCTTACTACGGTTGTCCTAGCCAACTACCCAGCTGTCTGGAACAGTTAGAAATAACACCCAGCACTGCTGATGCAGATCCACTCAGCTTCCAGCCGAGACGTACCCAGCTCTGAACTGGAATACAATGAACCAGGTGATCCTTAGCATCCCCTATATACAGCAGTATATGACTATACACGTTTCTCTGTACTTTTCTGTGGTACAAGAGACTGTACGAAGGCCTCACATCTGCTAGAAGAGCGCTGTCCCACTGAGCCGACAGTTACAGTCATTCCCCCTTAATTCCTGGGTGCAGTTCAGTCCCATCCCCCTCAGTTAGCGCTGGCAGTGCTGCCTTGCTTACCAGTACATGGGTAACAGCTGCTGAAAGGGTACAGCAAGACTGCCAAATTCGCTGCAAGTATTTTGTAGGGTTGTTTCTTTTTCACCCTTACATACTTCATGTTCTAGTCTATATTCCTGAATGGAGTATCTGAGTGTCACTCAGATATCTAAACATGTCACAGGAACTTACAAGTCTCTTGCAGTTACAAATAAATACACAGGTAGTTCCAGTGTATCTACACTGTTTAAGCAGGTAAATTAGTTATACTTGCTTCTTCCACTTTTTAAATGATTTTTGATCTATTTATAATTTAACCTGAGGTAAAGATTATTTGATCTTTCTCCAAACAGTTAACCAGCTGTCCCAATATAACAAAAAATCCTGGCCTAGATGAACAACAGAGAGACTTTTCAAGTCTATTCCCTACCTCATTACACTGGCCAGCACATCAAGAATGACGTTAAATAATAATGGTGACAGCTTCACTATTGCTAAGTGCCCTACTCCGAGTTCAACCAAGCACTTTAAATGGAGAACGGAATCAGGCATGGTGGCACATGCCCTCAGGAGGCTGAGGCAGAACGATCACCAGGAGTTTGAGGCCAACCTGGACCATACAGTAAGACCCTGTCTCAAAAATACCCAACCAGCTGGGCGTGGTGGGGCACACCTGTAATCCCAGCACTCAGGAGGCTGAGGCAAGAGGACTGCTGTGAGTTTAAGCCCAGCCTGGGCTACACAGTGAGTTCAAGGCCAGCCTGAACTACACAGTGAGACCCTGTCTCAAAAAACAAAAGCCCCTAGGTTCCCAATTTTGTTGTCTGCATTTAAAGAACAGTTCTTCAATTTCAATTCTACTCTTCTAAAAATCTTCTGTATTAATATTTTGTTTTATCTTTAGGGCTTCTTCTCTCTTCTTTCCCGGAGTTGTTTTTCTCGCTGACTCACTGAGATGAATATTTACTTTCCTTCTTTAGTGCTAACAGTCCGTAAAGACACAGATTTATCTTTAGCTATGACTTGGCTACTTCGCGAAGTGTTTTACACTATTTTCACACTGATCAGCACCTGGTGTCTTCAGCGCAGCATTGAATTCCGCTACGCTCCGATCTCACACTAAAGTACCCGAGTCTAGCAGGCAATGAGACTACCTTCAAGTACTTCAAGACCAACATGTACGTTGTTCCGCTCAAGCTGCAGGTATTCTTCCACCTTAGAACCCCCACATAATGAAAACAAAAGTTGGGTTTTTTGGATCCTCCTCTCTTCCCAAGTCTTCATACCAAAGCAACCACCCATTGTTAGTAATTTTAGCCCTTTAGTTTTACCTCTTTCCTGTCTCTACAAATACTATCTTTTTTTTAGGCCTTAATCACTTTCCTCACCTGAGGAATTCAGAACCTTGCACTTTAGTAACTGAATTAGTGATTCAAGAAGTTTAAAATATTTGAAAACTTTTTAAAGAAAAAAAATTGTATCTACAACATCAGATTTCTTCTACGAAAAAAATCAAACGAAAAGACTCAGCAAGTCAGGTACAAATTTCCCCAAGAAAGCCACTCACCTTCCAACAGTCTTCATATTCTTAAGTCCCACTGTGTAGTCTTCATTGAGACACGCAGTATACTCCGAGATACCAAAGTGCTCTAACTTAGGAGTTACACACTCAAAATCATCCATCTTTAGAGCACATTTTGGAGTTTTCGGTATTCGAACTACTGGCTGTCTGGTAGGTGGAGTGTCAGCTGTGGGCTCTTCCTTGCGGTTGCTTATGGCTTGCGGAGGGTCTGGTAGAACCTGAGGTATCATATACCGCTCCAGTCCAAAATCTGCAAGCTGTGGACTCCGCAGAGGCGCCTCAGAAACAGAACCGCCTGGGATGGGCAGGTCGGATGGGTCATCCTTCACACCAGACTCTGGAACACTGTCGCAGCTGGCCATCTCTAGGGTAGAGTCAGCGATTTCCTGTTCACAAACTAGGACGAAAATCAAAGAGTTAATATTTTGGTCAAACCTCAAAACAGAAAATCTCATTTATTAAAACAAGGTTGCTCCATCTGAAGTTTACCAATCAGCAAAAAACCTGGTTCTCTATAAAAATTTTATTTCAAGTGTCTCTTCAATATGTTTCTGACATGCATCTCATCTACTTGTGTTCTATTTTTATTGTTTTGTTTCTTTGAAGGTGGAGGTCTTACTACGCTGCCCAGGCTGGCCTTCAGTTCCTAGACTCAAGCAATCCTCCTGTCTCAGCTTTCCAAGTAATTGGGACTACAGGTGTACCACCGTAATCCAACCCTTGTATTTCATTTTGATTATATGTTAGAGAAGGAAAGCAAACTGAAGTGTTAAAAAATGAACCATCAGCTAGACATGGCGGCACACATCTGTAATGCTAGCATTCAGGAGGCTGAGGCAAGAAGATTGCTCTGAGTTCAAGACCAGCCTGCATTACAAAACAAGACCTTGTCTCGAAAAAAAAAAAACCAAAGAATATAAAAAGAAGAAAAATCAGTATCTGCAAAGTCCAACTTTTCTGCTTCCTCAATGTGATTTACCAGTGTTAATATTTTCGGAAAATACTCTATCACTAATTAGGCAGAACTAATGCAGTACGGAATCAACTCTTCTAGACTTGACACAAAGTATAATCATAGCATTTTAGATATTGAACTTCTAGATGGCTAAGATAAAAATGAGAAAGTACTATCTGCTGTCAGTATGGAACACTCAAATCAAAAATCTAATGGAGAAAATAGCAGAGCAATTGAAAGAATATGCACTTTTGCAGCCAGGAATTAGCTTTACACTTTGACTTGGCTTGGGGCCTGAGGAGCTCCGACTTACTGAGCGCTGAGCTGCTGCTGGGCTCGTGCTAACTCTGAGGGACACTGTATGAGCTGCAAGTTCCTGCTCCCCCCCACGGGGCTGCGGGACTGTCACTCATCGGATTTTTGCTGTTGTTGCTGGTGGTGCTGGGGATTTAGCACAGGGCCTCACACGTACTATACAAGCACTCTGCCCCTGAGCTGCACCTCCAGCTCCACTGAGAAGATCGAAATGAGAACGTTTTCACTGCTCGATAGAGAGATCCCATTGTACGCACTTGATGCGTGAAGAAAAAGCAGTTCAGAGAAATGACGCAGGTCACACACGGGCTCACTGATAGAACCAGTGTCTGAATCAACGCCTCTTTCACAGCGAACGCAAGACGTGCTGAATTTAGTTAATGTCTTCTTTACCTACAAGGGTCATGCTCATAGTAAGCTGAAGGCACTGACAGCAGCCACTCGGAGGCACGGGCTGAACACTACAGCAACAGTTAACGCCAGGTAACGGCCAGGCCAGGCGTGCCGAGTCAGTTTCCTCTCACCCAGCCCTTACCCCACGCTCTGAAGTAGGTATATTACACATCCTCATCTTACGAAGGAAACTGCGGCACACAGGTCAGTAACTTGCCAAAGGTAACACAGCACCTAAGCAGCGAAGCAGACTCGAACCCAGGCAATTTGGTCTCCTAATTCTGAACCACTGTGTTACACTACCCTTCAATAAAATTCTACAACTAGAAAGACTCAGTCAACTTATACAGCCAAAACCTCTCATTCTGTCAAAGAGGAAGCTGAGAGCAAGAAAAATAAAATAGCACCTTACAGTTTCTTAGCTTTACGGTTTCTTCCAAGAGGCAGAGCTGAGAAGAAAGTGCCTATCCTAAGTCATGTGGATATACTGTACTTCTGCATTTACGTAGCTCCAACAACTCTTTGGAGCATCACTTTGTGCGTCCTGAGCAAGCCCTGAGGAAGGGCGCGCAAGGGCCGTGCAGACTCCTGAGGAAAGCCTCACCCTGGCGGGGCCAGAGCTGCGCACTCCGCCACACCCCCGCCCACGGGCATCCTGGGCTTCCTTCTTCAACTGCAACCCTAATGTTACGAAACAAAAGTCAAACCTGAATTTTCCTTGACACGTGGACTGTATCCATACATCTGGAAAAACTCTCTTATTTTTATGATATCCATTTTATTTTTTTCCATCAGTACTTTTGTTGCCTTAATAAAACCAATGCTTTCTTGACTTTCCAATCTTGCTTTATCAAGAAGAATATTAACATCATCCTTTTATGAAAAAAGAAAATACATTATAACTTCTCTAATTTCTTTTTTTATGGTGCCAGGCATCAAACTGACAGCCTTTCACATGCAAGGCAAGCACTCTGCACCCGCCCAACATTTCTCTAACTTCTGACTAAATTTACTTGTGCTAGAATTGTAGGATTGATACCTTCAGAGCCCGGACTTCTGAATGAAGGTCACGTAAAATCTTCGTTGGATAAGCTTCAAAGTCTTCAATACACACATTGAAAGGAAAAAAATCCGGTAAACATAAGAAATAGAAAGGAAAAAGAAAATTTAGTGTAGTCTTTTAAAATTACAAAGTCTTTGTAGACATCTTTATAATTTATTTGTTCAATTACTAAAAAAAGTTTAAGGGTATCTTTAAAACCTTTATTGAACTGTAACAATAAAAGTACACAAATCAGTATATAGCTTGAAGAACTTGACAAAGTAAACATACAGAATAGGAAGAAAAAAAAAGTGAATGTATCTGCATAACCAACCCTCAGCTCTAGAAATGAGGGAAAGAGAAAAGGGAAAAGGAAGGAGGGAGAGAAGATTACCAGGAATTTGAGATCAGCCTGAACAATATGAGACTGTATCTCAAGAAAAAAAAAAACCAAAACTAGAGAGGTGTTTTTTCTTTTTTGGTCTTTTTTTTCAGACAGGGTCTCGCTATGCAGTTCAGGCTGGCCTTGAACTCCCTTTGTAGCGCAAGCTGGTCTTGAACTCGCAATGATCCTCCTGCCTCAGCCTCCCCAGTACTGGGATTACAGGTGTGCCCCACTACAGCCAGCAAAACTAGAGTTGTAAATATTCTCTTTTACCTCACTTTTCTCCCCAGATAATCATTCTGATTTCTAAAACCATGAAATCATTAAACTTCATTTAATGAACTCATATATTACATACATTTTTGTGACTGGTCTCCTTCACTCAACATTCTTATATTCCTCCACAGTTCAACTCATCCATGCTCACTGCTGTGTAGTATTCCACTGTAGATCAAACGTTTTATTGCTGATGAACTTCAGGTTGTGTTGAGTTTGCACTGTTATACCCTTGCTTTTTATTTTCTACAACATGTTTTTAATGAGAATATATTCACATTTTTGTACACCAAAGAACTAGAAAAACCGCTGGGTTCTCCATAATACATATATTCAATTTTTCTGTTTGTTTGAAGCGGGATCTCAATATGTAATTCAGGCTGGCCTTGAACTTACTATACAGACCAGATTACCTTTGATTTCATGCACTCCTTCTGCCTTAGCGTCCTGAGTGCTGGCGTTATATTCAATTTCAGTAGATATTGCCAAATAGTTTTTCAACCTAGTTGTTACAATTTATAATCCCAACAACAGTGCATACAAGTTCTCTTTATTACACATCTTCACAAGTACATAGTAGTTTCCCCTTTTTCATTTGTTATACTGGGATATATACAAGTTGGGATTTAATTTTCGTTTCCTTCATGACTAACAAAGTTAAATTTTTCATATATTTCATGGTCAGCTGAAGATAATGAGGCATCAATTTAAGACTTGCATTTTTCAGTGGTATTTGTCTGCCCTTTTCTTATTGATTTGCTGGTACCTGAAATTATTCAGAAAATAATTTTAATACTTTGTGCCCAAGCTAGCAACATCTTGCAATGGGACACACATTTATCCAGGAACAAATGTTAAAAACACAGTAACATGAGCAACCGTCTATACAAAGGTGAATAAACTGCACATTATTTTTCTTCTTGGATCATTTCTGTTGCATAGAACATTACAATTACATGTCAGTATAAATTTACTCATCTAAAGAATACACTTTGAACTATGAGGTATGGCAACTCCCTGTAAGAAGAGAGTTAACATGTAAACCTGTACTTAACATGCAAAATATTTTGGGTGATTTGTTTTCCAGCTGCCACGGATGAGAAGGACAAAGAAAATCGAGCATTCAAAGACCCAGAAACTTTTAAGGAATAATTTTTTTTAATTTAGTAATTTTTTATTTCTTACCACTTCCTTATTGAAACACTGTGGACTAGAAAAAGATAACTTCTGAAGTGACGCTATGTTTGTTATGTATTAAGCCAGTTATTTTTACAAATCTGCCAGGTAACTGCTTGTTTACATCACTGAGATCCTGATACCTGCCCATCAATGTTGTAATTCAAGATGGAAGTTAAGACACATCAGGCCAGGGATGTAGCTGAGCAGGATAAGCCTGGCAAGCCTGAGGTCATGAGTTCGATCCCTGGGACCAAAAAAAAAAAAAAAAAAAAGAGTAAGCAGTTTTTTACAACAACCATTGTTAATCTCCCACCACTTTGTCTGTTACTCTGTATTGTTTGTATTGTTCTTATGCTATTTTGTAAATGGATGTCTGTTTGTTAATATGTTTTCCTTCTTTTATTTTTAAAATAAATTTAAAAAAAGAAGTTAGACACATCTACTTCACTTGAGTCACCATGGTATGTTTTCTTACAAAGGACATGTTTGGCATCTTCTTTTTAAAAAAAACTTTTAATATTTTTGAATTTTTAATATTTATTGTCAACTTAATATTTTCAACATCAACTGTTTACAAAATCTAAAATATAGAAACAAATTCTGATATGAATTACAATGAAAATACAAATAAAACTCTACAAAAAAATAATCTTTACTTCAGTTATGACACCTAAGGCAGTCTTCCCATGTGGCAACAGCACGTTACTCACACAAATATCGCTTACAGGGACAGCACATGTTTTGTTTCCCTGTCCTTTTTCGTAACACATACTTGACATCTTGCTGGTCCTCCTGTTTTCTTAGGAGGTTCTTGTGACGTTTCACCTGTCTGTTTATCAGTCTGCTCCAGAATTCTTTTGTGGAATTCTTTAGGCAGGTACTGTTCTCCCTCTGTTGTAGTTGATCTTTTATTAATTCCAATCCCAATCCTCTCAGAAAACTTCTCTGTGATAGTCTGAGCTTGCTATTTTCTTTGTAAATTATCAAACTTATTGTGTCTGACATGTTTAGGATCCAGTAAAACACAACCACTGACCAATGGCCAGCCACTGTAGCCCACTGTATCCACTTCTCTGTTCCACTGGAACCAGTGACCTTTAAAGATGTGGCTGGGGATTTCACCCTGGAGGAGTGGGCTTTGTTGAATCCTTCTCCAAAGAAGCTCTACAGAGATGTAATTTGGGAAATCTTCAGGAACTTGGTCATCGTTGGACATAACAGGGTAGACCCAAAAATTGAAGATGTGTACAGAAATCTCTGGAGAAACCTGAGTGTCACAAGTTGGTTGTGCGTCTCAGTAGCTGCACTGGAGGAGTATGAGAAGTGACCTTTGTTCACTTGCTTGGAAGATGGGCAGCAGAGTGTATGCATATGTGTCAAAGCAGCCACAGCATTAGCCCAATTCAGGACAATGCCACAGGAAAATCTGCTTTTACAACTTTGGGAGGAGGCTGAAAGGTGAAGTACAGAATAAAGACCTTGATTCAGATGAGGAAGAAAACAAATATTTGACTAGTCCAAAGGCTACAAAATGGGCATATATACCTGAACAATCCAATGTTAGAACTAGGTTGGAGAATGTTATTAGGTTTTTGCCAGGCATGAAATCTATCAGAATGCCTACAATTCCATGTTGGAAATTGTTTGTAATGGGTAATATCCTTTTTGTTGTCACTGGGTTTTTTTTTGGTACCAGCAAACTCAAGACCTTGCACTTGCCAGGCTTGTGCCACTGAGCTATATCCCCGGCTGTAATGGGTAATATGCTACAAGATGTTATGAAATACACTAATAATGAAATACAGGGAAACATTCTGTATGTACCAACAGTACTGCTAAAAATATATTCATCATGACACCTCACTGTCTAGACTAAAGCCTTCATAGGTCTGTTAAATATAGCCAGATTGTATCATTCTAATCATCAGAATCTAAAGGATTTATGAAGAAGTGATGGATATGGTGTTGAAATTTTTAGAACAACAGTGCCTAGTTGTAAAACCAATTTACTTTTTTGTTTTGTTTTGTTTTTTGAAACCAGGTCTCACTATGTAGTTCAGGCTGGCTTTGAACTCACTACATAGCCTACACAGGCCTCAAGCTCAAGGCAGTCCTCCTGCCTCAGCCTCCCAAGAACTGCAATCATAGGTGTGTGCCACCACACCTGATAACCCATTTACTTTTATGGATAACCCTTTATGATAACCCATTTACTTTATTTACTTTTAAGCTGTTTCTGTTGAAGTATCACAAGTTATGACCAGATTATAAGAGACCTTTGCTTACCTGCCCAGAGTGAAAGCTGTGGTATGTAATTCTTCACCAACAGAATTCTAAACACTCAATGCAAACTTGACTCCACCCAACCCCCACCTGAAATGACCAAGCATACAACACAACAGTGGACCGTGATGGGATTAGCAGTGTGCTGTTTTCTGGGTGGTAAAACGGGAGAACCAATAGAAGTCAGAAGAGGAATACCACATGAGTTAATAGGAAGAGACTTGGGCTGGGGATACAGCTCGGTGGCACAAGCGCCTGCCTGGCAAGCGCAAGGTCCTGAGTTTCGATTCCTGGTACAAAAAAAAAAAAAATAGGAACAGACTCTTAAAAAACAGTCACCTTAAATTAACTTTCACTCTCCCACTACAAAGCAAAGTGAGTGCAGGTTGCCTCACCAAGTGCCTGTGGTCCTGAGGGAGGTGTGGACATCACTCCATTGGTGAGAAGCAGTTATAAAGCACCTCAGGAGGAGAACATAGTAACATAGAACTCTGTTTGCGTTACCCTAAAGTCACCAACCACACAAGGTTAAAAATACTTCTCTCTTCCCTGATGTATTTAAAATAGCGAAAAAGATTTTAACCTGATGGCCTGGTGTAGAGCAGTCCCGATGCTGAGACTGGCAGGCAGGTGACATTTTAAATAAAATTCTGAATTTCTGAAGTCTACCCAGTGTGCAAGAACAAATTTACTACTCCAGAAGAGAAAATCAGTTTTGTCAACACGATGTCTGCCACCATGTCCAGGGTCCAATCTAAGCTGGCAAGACGGGCAAAGGGACAGGAGAAGGTCCCCAGGAAGAAAGGTGTCCACGGAGAGGGACAGAGCGATGCGCCCAGTACCGGAATCAGAGTACAGACTCATCAGCAGGTGACAGGAATGCGTTGTTACTGAAGGAAAAGCAGGACCTTGTGTTTGAAGAGACCATGGTGGGGACCCTGACACATAGCACAGGGAAACTTTTGGAAGCAAAAATCACAACACCTGAAGTGAAAAATTCAAAGAACTCAAGTAGCAGAAAGGAGGGGCAGGAAGTAAAAGATTTAGCCTTGTGGGAGACCAGACAGGAAGATTAAGGCCTAAGTGGCCCTTTCTGTGAGCACTAGGGAAGGGAGAAAGATGGCGTGTGTGCTGATGCCCTCCAGGAAAAATTAATACAGCAGAGATCTGGTGTTTACCTGGAGATAGATTCTAAAATAGTAGACAATACCAACAGCTTGACCTTCAAAAGAAAACTGGATGAACTGAGTAGAAAATTAGGCAAAGCCAAAATCACAATCCTGGCCTAGGTAAGAAATTACCTCAAAATGACAAAGCCAATAAAAGGATGGGAAGAATCTCACATAATAATGACAGACGGAGAAATTGGGATGTCCAGGTAGACGTTCTGGAAAGAGAGGACGGAGAAAACAGACAGCATGAACCCGTGAAAGAAATGGGAGAAGAAACCTTAAGGACCTGAAGAATAAAGAGAAGGCGGTAAAAGAAGACCGCCAAGGGATGAGCAAGCCATCCTGACCCCGGCTGTGAACTTCTCATCAGCAACACTGAGGTCGCCAAGCAACGGGGTCATATCTCTAGCATTCTGAGAAAAAAAGGTTTTGACCCTAAATTGCTATGCAAGGTTGAATTAGCATCTAAATGTGATGGTGAAATACAGGGTGAGGGAAATCCACGCACAGACGGAGAAGGGCTCTCGGCGCTGTGTGAGGAACTTGCCTGTAGTTACTTGCTTAGGGACAGGGAAAAGCTGGTGCATCCGCAGGAGGTACACAACATAGAGGAAGAAGAGGAAACAGCCGCTTCCAGAGATCAAGCAATGAGACACCACGTTCGGCCCGGCACTGGAGCTCTGCCAAAACCACTACGAAGTTCTGAATCGAAACGATGCAGAAAAAAAAATTTGACGAAATTGTAATAAAAGCTTTCAGCAAACTAGGAACAGCAAGGAATTCCCTCAGCCTGACAAAGGGCCTACCCGTAAACATCACACCAAATAATAAAACGCTGAAATCTTTTCCCCAAACGCAGGGAACAAGGGGAGCACGCCTGTTCTCAGCACACCTATTCAACACTATTGGTGGGACGGTCTGGCGTGTGGAACAAGCAGAACATACAGGCGGGAGAGGGGGAAAAAAAAATCATACACCATAAAGACGTACACTTACTATGAGTAGCCTTAAAAAGGAAAAAAAAAAAAAACATAGGTGGCATTTAGTCTGACGTGGTGGCGCGTCACCACGTCCCCCAGTCTGGGACGCTGAAGCAGGAGGATCTCAAGTTCGAGCCCAGCCTGGGCAAGTTAGCTACTCCGTTAGACCCTGCCTCAAAATTTAAAAGAGGGGTGCGGAGGCCGGTTTGTGGCTCAGTGCGAAGGCCCACGGCTCAATCCTCAGAACCTTAAAAAAAAATTAAAGCGGCGCCTGCGCCCGGCAGCCGTGTGGAGGGCACACGCCCGGCAGCCGCGCTCGCCGGGCACCGCGGCACCTCGTCCGTCAGCCGCCGCCGCACACGGCCACGCGCCGGGCCCCACTCACCGCTGTCCTCTCCGTCCAGCGCCCGCTGCAGCCGGGCCGTCTCGCAGTCCAGCGTGCCGGCCAGGAGCCGCAGCTTCCCGCAGAAGGCCCGGATC